TTTCAGGTGGAGGAGGTATCTCAAAAACTTCCACGGCCATCACCTCATCATCCTCCTCCTCCTCATCATCTCGAAATGTTCGAGCTCAGTCACCACCACCACAGATTAGAAGCGGACATAGGCGATCAAGGGATCGAGGAGCTGTTTCCTCGAGGTCGCCCTCGCCTTTAGCAAGTAAGCGAGCAAAGGGATCGGTGGTAAGTGGCGTCGATTTTTTAGGAAACTTTTTCTTATATTTCTTTGCTTTTAGGACTACAACAACGGCTCCTCCTCCTCCTCCTCTCGAACTAAATCATCATCTCGGCATGAGCGTTCAGAGCGAGGTGATCATCATCACCGCCATCGCCATCACCACCAAAGCAGCAGCAGCAGCCGCCACCGTTCTCGCTCTTCACCCTCGCCACCCTCGCCGAGGGTGGTGGCTGAAGAAGGTCCAGAGGATGATGAGGGTGATGCTGGAGAGGAGGCAGCCGACGAGTGCGCCTCCAATGAGCCCGACATTGAGGACCTGGAGATGCAGCGGAAGAAGCTGCTGGAGGAGCTGGGCGGGTTGAACTGAACTGAGGTGAAGAGAAGATAAAAGCTGGTGCTTTTGTTTGTTTTCTTGGTTTTCAAAGAAGAAGGGGAAGAAAAGTTCAAAGATATGTTCATGAAACGATCAAGGTGTTATACAAAAGTAGGTGCTCCCTTCCTTTTTTCCCTTCCTCCTTTCCAAAGTTTCGCAAACTGTTGTACCACCCACACACCCAGACACACACAGACTGCACAACTGCAGAACACTGTGAACTTTGTGATGCAGTGTTCAATTCTTTTCCCATGAAAGAGAGGGGGAGGGGAAGGAATTGTCTGCTAACATTGTTTTTAGCACATCTCTGTTTAAGAAAGAAACAAACGCTGTGCTTTTACTGCTCGGGCGTCTAGAAACCACTTTATTTTTTTGTTTTGTGTCTTCTTTTTATCTTCCTCCATGCTCAGATGGACCTTGACTCTCTGTCTTTATTAGATTACTTTTAGGATTTAACCAAATTTGCCATTCCCTCTCTTTTTACCTTTACCTTTTCCGGAAAACCTCCATTCACCTGACACTCTTTCTGAAAAAATGTATTTTTGTCGATTGTAAAATTGAACACTCCGGTGACTGGTTTTTCGAAACGAAGAGTAGTTTTACTTTTGAAAGGGTATACAAAGGATTAGGATAGTAACAAAGAGAGTGAGTGAATGCTGTACAAGTGAGTACTGGTGTAAACAACAAATTTTAGGGGTAACTTTGGCGAACGATTACTGTGACTGATTCGTCTGCAGGGAAGAATCAGGAGGAGGAGGAAGAAGATGAACATGTTTCCAGTGGTGCTTGAGATTGGTCCAAGAGGTGTATGTCTTGGGGCAGTCCGTACACCGAAATGACAGCTCCCCGGAGTGGGTGAGAAGGTGAACTGCTAGGTTGACCTGTTCGGTGAACACTTTCTGGCACTGGTCGCACTGGTACGACCGCTCGGCGGTGTGGCTGAGCAGGTGAACTGTCAGTTGACTCTGGCTGGTGAATGATTTCGGGCACTGGTCACACTGGAATGGCCGCTCGCATGTGTGTGCGTGAAGATGTTTTGTAAGATTACTCTGTTGGATGAATCTCTTCCGGCAGCGGTCACACTGGAATGGCCGCTCCCCCGTGTGAGACCGAATGTGAACTGTCAGTAGACTCTGGTTGGTGAATGATCTCGGGCACCTGTCACACCGGAATGGTCGCTCGTTTGTGTGTGCGCGAAGATGTTTGTTTAGATGACCATGACTGGGGAATGTTTTCGGGCACTGGCCACACTGAACTGGCTGTTCAGTGTGGCCAGTGTGTGTACGACGGTGAACTGTTAGGGTGCTCTGTTCGGTGAATGATCTCTGACACCGGTCACACTGGAACGGCCTTTCACCGGTGTGAGAGCGGATGTGAACTTTTAGGTGATACTGTCTGGTGAATGATCTCAGGCACTGGCCACATTGAAACGGCCGCTCGCCTGTGTGAATGCGGAGATGTTTTTTTAGGTCACACTTTTGGGTGAATGCTCTTGAGCAGACCGTACATTGGTACGGTCGCTGACCGGTGTGCATGCGAAGGTGAATTGTTAGTTTACTCTTTTGGAAAAATGCTTTTGGACAGACTGTACAGCGGTACGGTCTCCTCCGCTCATTATCAGTGTCCCTCTGGTCATCAGCTTCAGTGGATTGACGCACAGCAACAGCAGTGGCAGCAGTGTTTGCCACTGTACCTCCATCGACAACTTTTGATAAAGCCATTGTTTGATCTGATAAAGTGATAACTGTTAGCTATTTTTGTAAAAATATTTTTATTGAAATTTACCTGTTTCAGTTGACTGCTGATTGCCAGGTTGTTCAGCATTGTCGTGCACTGTAGTGTTTTGGGATGCATTTGGATTATTACGATTCAGAACTGAAGTGTCAAGTGTAGGGCATGGAGGAAGTTGTTGCTGAAGTTGTACGCGAGGAGGAGGAGAGGGATAATTGGGAAAAGGAGATGGAGGTGTGGTGTGATAGACAAACTGCTCATTGAATTGTCGATTCGTCAGAGCCAGTTCATCCTCTTCTTCTTCTTCTTCTTCTTTCACTTCTTCTTCCTCTGGTAAATTAGAACGAGCTGCTGGCAGTGTTGGCAGTGAGTTTCCCTCATCACCATCTTCTGAGCCCAAATCAACTGTGCCTTCATCACTGCTGTTGACTTCTACAACCTCCTCCTCCTCGTCAGGAGCTGCTTCAACTCGGTGGCTACTCATGTTGTGGTAAACAGGAATTGTTGTTGATGATGAGGATGTTGACGATAAATTGAGAGAAGGGAGAAATTGGCACCTGGAATGCCCCAACAGAGAACTGCTGTTCNGATGAGGATGTTGACGATAAATTGAGAGAAGGGAGAAATTGGCACCTGGAATGCCCCAACAGAGAACTGCTGTTCTGCTGAAGTGCTGGCAGTTCTGGCAGTGTTCAGGACAGAGTTCACAAAGAAAGGGCGCCGAATGGGCTCATGAATGCTCTCAGTTGAGCGCTCGCCCGTAGAATGGGAGCTCAGTGGCGTCAGTGTGGGCTTTGGGAATCACTGCCTCAGTTTCTCTCTCTCTCATGCCCTCACCTCTTCCTGTGAGAGAAAGAGACCCCAAAATATATAGCAGCAGGCTGTAGTATGTTGTGTGTGTGTGTGTGTGTACCAGCAGTGGTCACAGGCCACAGTGCATTTCACCAGTGTTTCCCTCTGCTGCTTCAGTTTACATTGGCCGTTGCAGCTGCTGCTGCGGCAAGTGCATCGCTCCAACGCNCTGCTGAAGTGCTGGCAGTTCTGGCAGTGTTCAGGACAGAGTTCACAAAGAAAGGGCGCCGAATGGGCTCATGAATGCTCTCAGTTGAGCGCTCGCCCGTAGAATGGGAGCTCAGTGGCGTCAGTGTGGGCTTTGGGAATCACTGCCTCAGTTTCTCTCTCTCTCATGCCCTCACCTCTTCCTGTGAGAGAAAGAGACCCCAAAATATATAGCAGCAGGCTGTAGTATGTTGTGTGTGTGTGTGTGTGTACCAGCAGTGGTCACAGGCCACAGTGCATTTCCCCAGTGTTTCCCTCTGCTGCTTCAGTTTACATTGGCCGTTGCAGCTGCTGCTGCGGCAAGTGCATCGTTCCAACGTTTAGAACGCTGTTCATTCTTTCGTTTGTGTGACTTTGATCATCTCTCATCTTTGAATCATAAACCTGCCTGGTTTATTTTTTGCCTATTATAACTGCTATTAGATTTAACTTCTGAAAACCATCCACCAATTTTCCTCCTCCAGAAAATTCCTCCGTTCCTCTGACACTCTCTTTCTGAAAAAAGAATGTATTTTTGTCGATTGTAAAATTGAACACTCTTTTGTGACTGGTTTTGGTGACAAGTGAAAAGTGGTTTTAGTTTAGAAAGGGTATAAAGGGTTAGGGTAGCAGTAGCAGAGAAAGCTGTACAAGTGAAAACTGATGATGATGATGATGACAAGTGGGGGGCAACTTTGCTGAACAGTCACTGTGACTGATTCAATTGCGGAAGAGGATTAGGAGAAGGAGGATGGGCATGTTGACGGTGGTACTGGAGACCGGTACTGGAGGTGTATGCTTTGGGGCACACCGTACACTGAAACGGCCTCTCGCCTGTGTGTGTACGAAGGTGAACTGTAAGATTACTCTTTTGGGTGAATGTTTTCTGGCACCGGTCACACTGGTAGGGCCGCTCTCCCGTGTGCGTTCTAATGTGAACTATTAGGTTACCCTTTTGGGTGAATTCTTTTAAACAGACCGTACATTGGTACGATCTTCTCCATTTATTATCAGTGTCCCTCTGGTCATCAGTTTGAGTGGATTGATGCACAGCAACAGCAGTGGCAGCAGTGTTCATCACTGTACCTCCATTCACTGCTATTTCAGCCACAGCCACTGGTTGATCTGATAAAGAGATAACTGTTAGTGATTTTTGTAAAAATATTTTTATTGAAAAAAAGCTTACCGGTTTCAGTTGACTGCTGATTGCCAAGTTGTTCAGCATTGTGGTGCACTGTAGTGTTCTGAAATGCTCTTGAATCATTACGTTTCAGAATGGTGGAAGCATCATTGGGGCGATTAAGAAGTGGCAAACGAGACGGAGGAGAGGGATAATTGGGAAAAGGAGTTTGAGGTGTGTTGTGATAGACTAACTGCTCATTGAACTGTCGATTCGTCAGAGCCGTATGAGAAGAAGGATGAGCATGTTGACGGTGGTACTGGAGACCGCTACTGCAGGCGTATGCTTTTAGGCACACCGTACACCGGTAAAGCCGTTTTACGATGTGCTTGCGAAGGCAAATTGTTAGGTCACCCTTTTTGGTGAATGCTTTTGGGCAGACAGTCCATCGGTAATGTTTCCTCCGCTCATTAGCAGTGTCCCTCTGGTCATCAGTTTCACTGGGTTGATGTACATCAACAGCAGTGGCAGCAGTGTTCACCACTGTACCTCCATTCACTGCTATTTCAGCCACTGCAACTGGTTGATCTGATAAAGTCATAACTGTTAGTGATTTTTGTAAGATTATTTTTGTTAAAACTTACCGGTTTCAATTGACTGCTGATTGTCAGGTTGTTCAGCATTGTCGTGCATTGTAGTTTTCTGGGGTGCACTCGGATCATTGCAATTATTAAGAATAGTAGAAGCATCATTAGGGCGATTGGAAAGTGGCAAATGAAGAGAAGGAGAGAGGTAATTGGGAAAAGAAGTTGGAGGTGTGGTGTGAAAGACGAGCTGCTCATTGAACTCCCGATTCGTCAGAGCCAGTTTATCATCATCTTCTGGTGATGGCAAGGAATTTCCGTCCTCACCATCTTCTGAGCCCAAATCAATCGTGCCCTCATTGTCGCTGTCGATTTCCACGACCACCTCCTCCTCCTCCCCATCAGGAGCTGCTTCAACTCGGTGGCTCATGCTGTGTTTCACTGAAATTGATGATGAGGATGATGAAAATGAATTGACAAAAGGGAAGAAATCAGCACCTGGAATGCCCCGGCAGAGAATTGCTGTGTTTGCAAAATGCTGGCAGTGCTGGCAGTGCTGTGCTGGTGTTGAAGACGGGTGAGTTCACGGAAAAGGCGCCGAATGAGCAGGCTGGTTGGGGCTACCTTTCTTTTGGGGAACAGCCTTACTCAAGCTCTCTTTCTTTTTCTCAAATCCTCTCCACTTCCTGTGAGAGAGAAAGAGAGAGAGAGAGAG